ACCGCGCCAGTCTCGCTCGCGGGCGGTTTCCGCATGTCACGAGCGTCCACCGCGCCAGTCTCGCTCGCGGGCGGTTTCCGCATGTCACGAGCGTCCACCGCGCCAGTATCGCTCGCGGGCGGTTTCCGCATGTCACGAGCGTCCACCGCGCCAGTCTCGCTCGCGGGCGGTTTCCGCATGTCACGAGCGTCCACCGTGCCAGTCTCGCTCGCGGGCGGTTTCCGCATGTCACGAGCGTCCACCGCGCCAGTCTCGCTCGCGGGCGGTTTCCGCATGTCACGAGCGTCCACCGCGCCAGTCTCGCTCGCGGGCGGTTTCCGCATGTCACGAGCGTCCACCGCGCCAGTCTCGCTCCCGGGCGGGTTCCGCATGTCACGAGCGTCCACCGCGCCAGTCTCGCTCGCGGGCGGTTTCCGCATGTCACGAGCGTCCACCGCGCCAGTCTCGCTCGCGGGCCTCGCGGGCGGTTACCGCATGTCACGAGCGTCCACCGCGCCAGTCTCGCTCGCGGGCGGTTTCCGCCTGTCACGAGCGTCCACCGCGCCAGTCTCGCTCGCGGGCAGTTTCCGCCTGTCACGAGCGTCCACCGCGCCGCCAGTCTCGCTCGCGGGCGGGTTCCGCCTGTCACAAGCGTCCACCGCGCCAGTCTCGCTCGCGTGCGGTTTCCGCATGTAACGAGCGTCCACCGCGCCAGTCTTGCTCGCGGGCGGTTTCCGCATGTCACGAGCGTCCCCCGCGCCAGTCTCGCTCGGGGGCGGCTTCCGCCTGTCACGAGCGTCCACCGCCCCAGTCTCGCTCGCGGGCGGCTTCCGCATGTCACGAGCGTCCACCGCGCCAGTCGTCCACCGCGCCAGTCTCGCTCGCAGGCGGTTTCCGCCTGTCACGAGCGTCCACCGCGCCAGTCTCGCTCGCGGGCGGTTTCCGCATGTCACGAGCGTCCACCGCGCCAGTGTCGCTCGGGGGCGGTTTCCGCATGTCACGAGCGTCCACCGCGCCAGTCTCGCTCGCGGGCGGTTTCCGCATGTCACGAGCGTCCACCGCGCCAGTCTCGCTCGCGGGCGGTTTCCGCATGTCACGAGCGTCCACAGCGCCAGTCTCGCTCGCGGGCGGTTTCCGCATGTCACGAGCGTCCACCGCGCCAGTCTCGCTCGCGGGCGGTTTCCGCATGTCACGAGCGTCCACCGCGCCAGTCTCGCTCGCGGGCGGTTTCCGCATGTGTCAAGCATGTCCACCGCGCCAGTCTCGCTTGCGGGCGGTTTCCGCGATGTCAGAGCGTCACACCGCGCCAGTCGCTCGCGCGCGGCGGTTTCCGCATGTCACGAGCGTCCACCGCGCCAGTCTCGCTCGCGGGCGGTTTCCGCATGTCACGAGCGTCCACCGCGCCGTCTCGCTCGCGGGCGGTTTCCGCCTGTCACAAGCGTCCACCGCGCCAGTCTCGCTCGCGGCGGTTTCCGCATGTCACGAGCGTCCACCGCGCCAGTCTCGCTCGCGGGCGGTTTCCGCATGTCACGAGCGTCCCCCGCGCCAGTCTCGCTCGCGGGCGGTTTCCCCATGTCACGAGCGTCCACCGCGCCAGTCTCGCTCGCGGGCGGTTTCCGCATGTCACGAGCGTCCACCGCGCCAGTCTCGCTCGCGGGCGGTTTCCGCATGTCACGAGCGTCCACCGCGCCAGTGTCGCTCGGTCGGGGGCGGTTTCCGAATGTCACGAGCGTCCACCGCGCCAGTCTCGCTCGCGGGCGGTTTCCGCCTGTCACGAGCGTCCACCGCGCCAGTCTCGCTCGCGGGCGGTTTCCGCCTGTCACAAGCGTCCACCGCGCCAGTCTCGCTCGCGGGCGGTTTCCGAATGTCACGAGCGTCCACCGCGCCAGTCTCGTTCGCGGGCGGTTTCCGCATGTCACGAGCGTCCACCGCGCCAGTCTCGCTCGCGGGCGGTTTCCGCCTGTCACGAGCGTCCACCGCGCCAGTCTCGCTCGCGGGCGGTTTCCGCCTGTCACGAGCGTCCACCGCGCCAGTCTCGCTCGCGGGCGGTTTCCGCTTGTCACGAGCGTCCACCGCGCCAGTCTCGCTCGCGGGCGGTTTCCGCATGTCACGAGCGTCCACCGCGCCAGTCTCGCTCGCGGGCGGTTTCCGCATGTCACGAGCGTCCACCGCGCCAGTCTCGCTCGCGGGCGTTTCATGTCACGAGCGTCCACCGCGCCAGTCTCGCTCGCGGGCGGTTTCCGCATGTCACGAGCGTCCACCGCGCCAGTCTCGCTCGCGGGCGGTTTCCGCATGTCACGAGCGTCCACCGCGCCAGTCTCGCTCGCGGGCGGTTTCCGCATGTCACGAGCGTCCACCGCGCCAGTCTCGCTCGCGGGCGGTTTCCGCATGTCACGAGCGTCCACCGCGCCAGTCTCGCTCGCGGGCGGTTTCCGCATGTCACGAGCGTCCACCGCGCCAGTCTCGCTCGCGGGCGGTTTCCGCATGTCACAAGCGTCCACCGCGCCAGTCTCGCTCGCGGGCGGTTTCCGCATGTCACGAGGGTCCACCGCGCCAGTCTCGCTCGCGGGCGGTTTCCGCATGTCACGAGCGTCCACTGCGCCAGTCTCGCTCGCGGGCGGTTTCCGCATGTCGCGAGCCTCCACCGCGCCAGTCTTGCTGGTTTCCGCATGTCACGAGCGTCCAGCGGTTTCCGCATGTCACGAGCGTCCACCGCGCCAGTCTCGCTCGCGGGCGTTTTCCGCATGTCACGAGCGTCCACCGCGCCAGTCTCGCTCGCGGGCGGTTTCCGCATGTCACGAGCGTCCACCGCGCCAGTCTCGCTCGCGGGCGGTTTCCAGCCAGCCTCGCGCGCCCAGTCTGCACCACACCGCCGTCCCCCCAGCCAGCCAGTCTCGCTTGCGGGCGGTTTCCAGCCACGCCCAGTCTGCGTCCCCGCAGCCAGCCAGTCTCGCTCGCGGGCAGTTTCCAGCCAGCCTCGCGCACCCAGTCTGCACCACACCGCCGTCCCCCCAGCCAGCCCCCCCACACCGCCGTCCCCCCAGCCAGCCTCGTACGCCCGGTCTGCACCCCCAGCCGGCATCGCACGCCCGGTCTGCAGCACAACGAAATGGAAATCCCTTCTTATCTCCGTCGTCACAGCTTGTATCGCTCCCAGGCACCTTAAGAGAAAACCTAAAGCAGAACCCAAGCATCAGAGATGCTTTTGGGAATAAGCTCGGGTAATATCCCCAACAGCATGCTGGGCTGAGACCCCAAAGCTTTCAGCTGTTGGGGGAAAACGTAATAAGAATATAAAAATGAATATTTGAGAAAATGCCAGTTAGGTCACACATGTGTATTTCCACACGAACACACACTAACATGGCACCTAACAGAGGGGTCCCTTCATGTGAAGATTGATCTTCCAGGTGCCCTGCCACAGGTGCAATGTTTTTGTGGGAGTAAGGATATCTCTCTCTCTCTCTCTCTCTCTCTCTCTCTCTCTCTCTCTCTCTCTCTCTCTCTCTCTCTCTCTCTCTCTCTCTCTCTCTACATATATATATATATACATACATACGCATGCACGTATGTATCAAAAGCACTTATAAGTTTTGTTGGTCAAATACAGCAATCATTTCAATGTGTCCTTCCATCCTTGGATCCTTGGCCACCTTGGCAAAAACAAAGGGAGCAACCGACCGGCGAGTGGGCCGACAATGATGTACAGACAAGGTCCCAGACGTTCAATGCAACTTGTTCCTCTTTATCTCGGGTTCCCCTTTCAAACTCAACTACAGTAGAAAAGCAAAAGGTGCTAAGTCTTCTTCACCCACAGTCTTGGGGTTCCCCCTTCCAGCGCCGGGCAGGTTTTGGTTTCCCTCCCATCCTTTCCAACCCGAAAGGGGAAGCTCCCGAAGCTGGTTTTCCGTTCTGTGAGTCGGATTTCCGGCTTTTGATGGTTCCAGAGAGTTTTGTTTCAGAGAAGCTCGCGGGGGTCGCAGCCGAGGTTCCTAGCCACTTTCGGCATGACGGCCAAGAACATGTTTGACTACAACAGCTTCCCGGCTGAGCTGATGAGTTCGAGGTTCAAGTCGAGTAAGAAGCAGATCCAACGACCAATGTTGAACCTGAGAGGGTGCCCCCCCAAGCAACTACTCCACAGGGAAAGGGATATCTCCATTATGTAGTGGCTTTTCTTGGATCCATACCCCATATCATCTGAGGAGCCCTGTTTTGCGGAATGCTGGCTGTATGGAAGGATCTGGGATTCAGGTAAGGTTATCCAGCTTGTCCATGGTCGATTCCTAATTTGTGGTTTGGGACATGGGGTACGAACTCAAATTTCGAGGGGGTTGTTAGTGTTTCAACCAAAACCCAGGGGTGGCTTTCTGATGTTCCCATGTCTATAAGGAACCCATAGATGTTGACTGCTCAGATGTCAAGTGCTGCCAGCCTCTCTTCAGCTCTTCTATTGTGTCGAAGCTGGAATAGAGAAAGGAAAGGGATGGAGAGGAATGGATTGAGGAAGGATCATCTGACTCTCCATTCGTTTTCCTCCACCAGATGGCATAAGAGAATTCTCTGACCCTCCCTGCGAACGAGCTGTGGGGTGGCGATGCTTCCGTCTCACCTGCGGTGTGCCCTGTTATGGAGAGACGCAGTTCCTCCAGGATTCGCGCTCATGTCGGTGAGGAAGTGAGCATTCATTGGTCAGGTTGGTTTGCGACCTTCCATCCTGATGGAATTCTTTTGAGGCTGGTGATGCTGGAGATGCAGGTGATGCAGATCTGGTGGTGCTGGGGATGCTGGGGATGCTGGGGATGCTGGGGATGCTGGGGATGCTGGGAGGATGGTTAATCAGACGTCTAAATTGGGAGTTCTAGCAAAGATGGGCGCGGCGCGCCTTGGAACGTGAAATGCACCACCCATTTTTTTATTGTTTCTTCTGGTGTCACGCCCCGCCAGCAATGTTTTGTTGGACAACAAACTTTGAGACATCACCGAACACAAACGGGTTAGTTCACGAAACAGCGGCTCAGGCTGAAGGCCGAAGGCCTTGCGGGGGCTGGGTCGCAAGGAGAGAACTTCCAGTTCGACCAGGAGCAGCGCCTGAGCCGCGAGCTTCTGCGACAGATCCTGCAGCTCAAGCGCTTCACCCTCTTCCGGGAGGAGACCCCAAAGAAGGGGGCTGTTTGGTTGGTTGGTAGATGTAGGTAGGTTGCTTTGTTGGGCTTGGTCTTGTTTTGTTTTGTGTTGTGCTTGTTTGCTTGTTTGTTTGTATGTTGGTTTGGGTGTGGCTCAAAATTAAACAGGTGGGGTTACGCAGGTTTTGGTCCATGTTTCCACTTACCAGGGTTGAATTTGGTTCCGGTTTTTTGAGCCACAGCCGTTTGTTTGTTTGTTTGTTTGTTTTGCTTTGTTTTGTGGAAATTTGTTTTGTGTTGCCGTGTTTTGTTTTTGTTGCTTTGTTTGATCGTTTCTTTGATTGCTTTGTAACTCCAGAACAACGAAAAACACTACCATGGACACCTTTTTGCCCCAGGGTTTCCCTGTATCTCAGAGAAGCCGCCACGAGGACATCAGAGATCTGGTGGAGCTCACCGTCGGCAAGATGGAGATGTACCACCTGGTGGCGGCCTTGCGCCTACGACGCGAGGAAGCCGTCCGTGGTTTTGGTGTTTGGTTTTGGGATCTTTACTGGTGGATCCCAAGACAAAAACATCAAAGGGGGGTCGAGAAGTGACTTGCGTGGCGAAGAACATGGCGAAGGGATCTTGCACCGCCTTAGAAGACACGTTTGTTTCCGCACAGACCAGTAAACGGTGTTATAGTGCCGCGGGTGAAAGCCCACCCCCGTTGAGCGTCGGGCAACTGAGAGCAGGTGCATTTGTATCTTCCGAGGTGCCCTCAGATATGTTGGAACAGGCCTCCGAGTTGTTTCTTGTGACCAAACCTTCCACTAACATGGCAACTAACCGCAGAGGTTGTCCCATGGCAACTGACAGCCCACAATTTTTGTACTATGTTTGTGTGTGGCGGGAGGGGGGGTGGAAAGTTGGAAATCGGTTTCCTTTGGTTTCCTCCCGGATTTGTCTTTTGCCCCTACCCTGCGGGAAACTCTGGAGGGAGTAGGCTTAAATTCTACACATTATTGCCCTAGGATCATTATCATCGTATAATTTGGTTATTAGTACCCCAAAACCTCATTCTAACTGTATATTTAGGCCCTAGCATATCTCATCCTCCGACATTTTCTCTTGGTCGTGAGCCTAACTGTTGCCCTCATCCTCGCTCTCTGAACCAGTAGTTTCAAGCTTCCATGGCCAACGTCGATCATTAGAGGGGGCCATGGATTGGACATATATGGAGGACGCATGTTTTTTTTCTGGATGTTCCAAGCATCTTGCAGGAACTTGTGTTTGTGTTCAAAGCTTCATTACCTGATCCTGATGTGCCAGCCACCACGGAGCTGCCAAACCGCCGCACATTGCCCCAGTATTCAAGTCGGGCTTCCGGATTTTGTGTACCCTCAGGCACCACCAAGCATAACTTTCATTACACACCGCCTGGCATCCCACAAAGCACCAAACATCATCACACGATACCAATGAAAGCCACTCCAACCCTTTCAGCTGCAGGCTCTGACCCGGGTAAAACCAGCTCACGTATGAAGGCTGCTTAGGCCCTAGAGATTCCTTAATTCAAGTTTGTTAGTTACCTGAAGCAAGAATCGGATCTCAAGTAAAGGACCATCACAGTGGGCTCGTTTTATTTGCAGGTGAGCTCGCCAACGAATAGCCAAAGTTTTTGGCCTTTACTCCATATTCCCCTCTTTTAGGGTATGATGCGAATCCCTGACGAAAAAAGGATGGTTTTTTCATGGAAACCAGGTCTTCCGAAACCAACGCGTATGCAAAGTGAAAGGAGGCATTTTACCACGGAGAACCATACTTTTTGTTCCTAAACCATACCACAAACAACAAGCAACAGCAAGCGGGCATTTGTCTAAATACTATGTGATCGATTTTCGGGGTCCATCCCAACCAAGAGGTCAACAGCTTTTGACCGTTCCATGCATAAAGGAGCACAGGTGGTCCTTTTTGCTTAGAAATGATTGGTTTTATGCCCTTTGCTCCTGGGAAACTCTTTTTTGTCTTCAACAGCTCACCTCTGATACGGTGGATGGCCGAATTTCTGCACCAGTTGGTAGCTGGTTTATGACCATTATTTATAGGGTTTCATCTATCCTAAGTGGTGGGTGGCGTGGATTTATTCCACCAGTTGGGCACCCTGAGCCGGTGTTCAAGGTTCATGGAGTCCTCGATGGCATTGTACTTCGAGGGCCGCATCCACCACGCCTCCCCGCCCTTCCTGCTGTCCCTGCTGTACATTTCCATCGCCTCCGCCTTTATGCGCCCCCCCCTCGAAGCGCCAAGAAATGAAGCGCCGTGGTCCACTTTGGTTTCGGCCAGAGGCCGAAACAAGGGCAAACGGCTTGGCAACAAACCAACAGACGCCTGGGCCGTTTTGCTTGGGTTTGCTTGGGTGTTGAATAACTAAAGCATTTGATTTTTCCAAAAGGAAACAAACGGGGATGGGCTTGGCACTTTTTCCCGCCCTCTAACGCTCACCTTGGCCCTTCAGCGAGAGGATATGGTACAATCCATGGACGGTCAGTGGATTCTTAGTCGATTGAATCCTTTGAGCTTCTGAACAGCCAGGATTTCTTGCCTCAAGATGGGACCCCCAAAGGTAGATTTCCCGGGCCGAAGGATATCCATTAAGGACGCATGCCTGTTCTCTTCAACCATCCAGGCTCTTAATTCGCACTCAACCTTCTACACTGGTTGAGCCCTGCTTTTGACTGGCTGGCTGCTTTCAAGTTGACGCGCCCCTTGGAAACATGCCCACCCGCATCAGAAGTTGGCACTTCGGGCTAAAACATGGCCATTTGGGCATCTTCTATATATGGGGGTTCGCGCAGAGGAGGGGTCGGGTGCCTTGAATATGTTCAGTCTCAAATTGCTTGGGTGGCTTCCGTTTAAACCACCACATAGAGGTAATTGTGAGGATGTCTTGCTAAAGGGAGCCAGGTGAAAAGCCATGGATGTTCAACCTGGGTTATGGCTATGCGTGGGCCACCTACGATTCACTGCCATCCAACCCTGGCTACCCAGGGAAATTCTACAGGATCCTGATTTCAAGTAGAACATGTTGGCCAATTTCCTGGAGAATGTCCTGTAGGTTTCTATGAGAAGGGTTGTGTTTACCTCCAGTTGCAGCTTTGGTGTTTTACCCAACCTTGAATGTACCCACTTACACCTTGTTTCGGAATACCAAGGAAAGACAGTGCGCCATGGGGCCCCAAAGCGGGAAGGAGAAGAGGGTAGGGCATGTTGCTTAAACATGTTGAAGAAGCATAAGTGGCTCAAGCAATTCACCTTAGACCGCAAGTTTTGGCACGCCAAATTTCAAAGCTGGGAGGTACCTCCTGTTGGCGGTGTGGCTCAGCATGCACGCCTCCATCTGCTCCCATAGCTTCGGGGTGCGCTTGCTCACGCGCTTTGTGCGGATCCCCAGTTGGCCAGGTGCGGCTGATCCGGCCGCAAAGTTATGGGCAGATTGCAAGGTGACCTGGAGATCGAACAAGCAAACATGGGGAAGGTCCCTTGCAAACAGCATTCCTGATTTCCGGTTTGTGACGTATCCCGGATGTGACTTTTGCAGGCTAGCACTTTTGCCTTTGGCCCCCATCAAGAATCAGTTGGAGCACTTGAGCCTGAAAAAGCCCTTGGCGCATCCCCGACTTTGAAAAAAGGAAATGCCCGCTCGGCCGGCTTGGTTGAACATAGATGGATTCCACCTTGTTTTAGGTTGGTCCTTTGTTGCCAGTCGATTTTCCCAAAAGGACACCTAGGGCAAGGCACGTCTTTGTTTAGCACCAACGCGGAAAGAGGTGTCTGCTTTGTGGTTCGCGGTTTTTGTGGCCGGTTGATAGATCCACACGTTTCTTTTCATTTTTTTCCTTCCGGATCTTCGGACTCCGGATCTGTCCGTGCGGTTTGCTTCGCCCGGCGAGGTCCGGCTGCCAGTGCCGGGCCTGGAGCAGATGGGGGCCATGAACGCGCGGCTGGCGGACTTCGAGAAGCAAGGCGCGCGCTCCGCCTCCGCCGTGTTCCGCTTCCGCCGCGTTGGGCTCCGCCGCGGGCGTGATGTGTTTCTTGTTGGACCCTGTCGGGTTTCCTCGCCTTTGCCGCCTTCTAGGCACTGTTTTGGAGTGAACGACAGGAATTTGTGTTTTCCATTTTCACATTATTATTTTTTTGCACCATGGCTTCTATTTGTAACTGGAAGAGAGGTGGTCCAATGGAGAGCACCGCGGTCGCGCCATCTTCAGGTTGAATCCACTCTTAAACTGGGGTCGGTCTGCTTGGGTTGCAGTTTTCTGACCCCTCCGTTCGCTTCGTTCGACGCCTGCGAGGTGTGAAGGGCATGCTGCGGGTGCCGGTGGTGGGGGGGCGCCAAGACTGGGTCCAGCGTCAGCCGCAGCTTCCCGCGCTGCGAGAGGAGGGAGAAAGAAATGAGCGCAACCAAAAACCGATCCCCAAAAGGGCCATTTGTGTTTGGGCGTGAGTGTTTATATATATATATGTATATATATATAAGTGTGTGTGTGTGTGCGTTTGTTGGCAGGTACCCTGCAAAAGGTGGATTGAAAGGGAAACCAAAAGGAACACGGCCATCTCAATGGGTCCCCCTGCAAGTATTAATGATTAGTGGTGCTGCTACCTGGTTTAACCGAAATTATAGACCACCAGGACAAACGTTTGTCCTCTTGGGCAGTGAGCGCAACCCCCTCTCTGCTTGGACACGAAAAAACGTTCTTCCTCCTGAAGTAAGGCCTGTATAGACCTTGTTGCTAGAGCCGAAAACATCAATTGGTTTCGGGCACGCTCAAATGGGAAGAGCTCGGAGGGGCTTCTTGCTCCGGTGGGGAACCCTTCAGCCAACCCGTTCAAGGACCAAATCTTTTGGGTTCTGCAGGTTTCCTTTGGCGTTAGGGCGTTAGGACCTTTTTTGGCAAAGCCTTCTGCAAAGGGGTCTTGGAGCAACCCTAATGGGGGAGAGAAGCCTGGGTTGGTCTTTTGAGCAACTTGTAAGGGCAAGACCACCTGCATTTTATGTTTTGACTTACTGGAGCCAAAAATTCTAGCGGGGCACCCAATTGCGGGGAACTGACCACAGGTGCTATGCAGGTGGGAGGAATGGTAGGCACAGAAACCGTCGATTTTCTGGTCAGAACCCGTTCCAGTGCTTCCAGCTACCGCTATAGTAACCAGGGGCAAATAATGTAAAACCTTGATCCCCTATTGTATTTGGAAGCACCGGGAGTTGGGAAGATTTCCGCTGTTTCACACGTTCCTTCTACTCGCTTTCAATTCGTAAGGCATCCGTAGTTTTTGTTGATCCTTTTTGTTTTTTTCCGGAGGATTTTTGAACCAAACTCGCCCAGGCTGCCCCATTTGGTGAGCCTAGCCCAGGCTTACAGATCTGAAGTCTCGGCTCGCAGGAGCCTTCAGGGACTCCGGACCTACTGGGTGAGGGCAGGGGAACTCAGCGGGTTCGCTCGGGACTCCGGGGCTTGCTGGCTCGTCAGCTGCCTGGACTTTTTGGAAGTCCTTGGAGAAACCTGCGAGTTGGCGTGGTACGATTTGAGCAAACCGGTGGGGCCTGTCTCAAAATAAGGAAAACCCGCAACATGAAGGCGTTCCCCTGTCCCTTTTAAAGCCAGCTGACAGGGGGTTCCACAAAGAGACACACACACACACACCCTCTTCTAGTTTTCATTGTTACCCAGCGACACGTGTTCATCTCAGTTTGGGTGCTCCTTGCACTCAGGCACTCGCGAAATAGGCCAGTTTGGGATGGAGATATCCAACATCGAGCCAGGTCTCGCCTCGGCAAATTGGTCACTTTGGTTTCAAGAGGCCAGTTCGCACAATTGGCTACTCCCGATTTAGCCTCCATGACTCTCCCTGGAACTCTTTGACTCTGGTAGGCTTCTATGTACTGGTCCCTTTTCACAGGAAGCTGGCAAGGATGAAGGCATGCCGCCGTGAATGGAGCATTTGTATCCGGAGTGGGGACATGCCAGAAATCTTTGAGCATTCTGAATATGAGCCGCAACAGATGAGCTGGCTTATCTCCAAAATATGAGCATCGGCCAGCACATGTGCACCAGTCAACTGTTGTTTTTTTTCCAGACCCACTCCTTTCAGGCAGCCCTTGCTTGGAGGTTTGGCGGCTGGTTTGCAGAAGCATCGATTTGACACTGCCTCCTCACCGCTAAACCACAGTCCCAACCACAAATGAAAGTACAGCTGATCCTTTCCGCCCAGTGTTGGGACAAACCAACATACCCATTGTAGTAGGGAACCAAGCAAACCGTATGTAGAACCTTGACGTAAGCTGGAAGCAACAGTACCTTGGTTTGGTGAATATTTGAAGGGGGCATATGTCTGAACCCCCTGACCCCATCAACCAGCTGGCCCGGGACCCGCCATGCGGTGAGGCATCAAGGCCTGGAACAAGGACGACAACATTTTGGGCTCGGCCCAGGCTGCGCCTCAGCCTTCAGGGCGACTCACGGAGTCGGGGAGTCGGGGATTCGGGAGCATCGAAGCCATTTTGGTGAAACAGTGGTTTCCTTGGGATTTTGCAAGGTAGACAAAAAGACACGTTCACCATGCTCGCCTCGTAGCGAGTGAACGTTCAGAAGCCGCAACGGACAGCATTACTTGTCAGTGGTGTATTTGGGAACTGGGGAGCTTCATGTCAACCCCTCAACTGAGCCATAGAATACAAAATGATATATTTGTTGCTGACGTGGCGACATGCAGACCATGTCTCAGGAAGCACGGAGAGTGATGTGGGGTAGGGCCGGTAGGGTGGGAGAGTGTTTGTTCCATGTTTTTTGGCGTCAAAACAGATTGGGGTTGGGCATGCCCGATAGAACGGTCCCACCAACCGTTTTAAGGAGTCCCGTTATTTCAATGGTCAAAGCACCGGGTAAAGATGGCCATCTAGAGATGTTAGACATCCATTCAGGGCTCGAGTTCCAATGAATGGGTTGAAAAGCATGTGTGCCACATCCTGCCCATTGCCAATGGGACCCCAAATTAGAAGGGTTGGTCTCAAGTAGTGAAACCATGGCCGGGCAGCGAAGGGAAGGAGAATCTGCGGTTTGCTTTGCTTCTGACTTTGTTGCAGATAGAATAGGCAGAACTCAGGCATTTTCCTGAAAGTCTAATTCTCTTATTCAACGGCCTCCAATTCTTCGCACAGAGTGCGGACTCACCACTCCAGTGGTTTCAACTTTTGCGCCTGCCGGCTGGGTTCGGAAAGCCGAGCTTGAGCTTGCTGGCTCCAAGGATTGGGCGCGTGGCTCAAGCCCTCTCAGCTTCTGGAGTCCACAAGCTTGTGACCCGTTTTTTTTTTGGTTGGTCGGCTACCAAAACCAAGGGCTCATCTACCAGAATTGGTGGGCTACCACAAATGGCTGGTCTACCAAGACTGGTGGGGTCGACCAATCGAGGGCACGCTCAGCAAGCACGTGGACCTCTACCGGCGCCTGCAGTGCAAGTGGCAGTGCTTCGATGCCTACGCGCGCGTGTGCATGGCCTTGGGCGCAAACCAGCCGCTTAGACTTGTCAACGAATCGGGGAAGTGCACTCGCGACCTCACGGCAGGAATTAGAGTTGGGTATGAAGGGAATGGTGGCATCATGCCACCCACTTTCGCCCCGTACTCACTTTCCCAGCTCTACTTCAACTTGGGAAAGATCATGGTGAACAACTAGATTTGTTCTGATTCCACTGATGTGAGAGGACTCCAGCCCAGTTTTGGGTGACAAATGTGGGCAAATGAAGCCGCCTCGCACAAGTTCTGGCTTCTTACGCCCTCGGCTTAGGCCCATGGCGAAGGCTCGGTCCCGCTAGCTACCAGCAGGAGTGTGACACACCAGGGCTGTTCATGGGGGAGAATGGGGCATTGGTTGGAAGTCAGGGTTGGACTGGGGGGTTTGATTCCGCACTCCTCTTGGCACGGGATCCAAGTAAGGGCATGCCTTTTCTGAGGGTACGCATTGAAGCTTGGTTTAACAAAAGCCGAAAGGACAAATCACCCTTTTGGGGCTCCTCGTACGTTGAGAGATACCGGTAAGGGTTCCCGCTTGGTGGTTTCCATCAGTCACCTGCCGCTCATGCTTTGATGGTGAAATCATAGGGCCCCTGTAGAAGTTTGGGATCCACTCTAGGAGCTGTTCAGGCTTGTGGCGTGACGAATGCTTCTTGCAGATGGCTGTAGAAATATTGTTTAGGGTTACTTGAATGCTAACTAAATATTGTCGAATGCATCTCGTTCCTGGAGCCGCGCTGGCTTCATTTCACACATTGGGGAGGGGCAAAATCGCACTCCCAGGCGAGTGCCCATTGGTACGCCGGTCACCGGGACCCCACACAGCGGGTGCTTTGCCTGAGGCTGATTCTGGGGCTCCAGTACTACTTGGTGATCACCACCCTCATCCAGTACCGGCGGCACATCCGCACAGAGCACATGCTCAGCATGCCACACATGTTTCTTTTGCAAATGACACCTATGTACTATTATATATCCCTTTATAGGGGAATGCCACTTCTGCGTAACTAAAACCACCACCACATTGTTTTCCCTTAAGAAGCCACCCAAAAAGCGGGTACCACCTGAAAAAGAGGCGACGTCACCCGATATTCGCTAGGACAAAACACCACACTCTGCGGTTTTCTCCTAGAATATTGCCCCCCTATGAATCACCCCCAGTTTATAAAACTTGGGGGTGTCCAACTGGGGTTTAGTGGAATGCCCCAATTAAAAGACGTTGACTAATACGGGGTCACCAAGTTTATTAATATGTGGGTATTCCCCTGCAAAGGTGAACACCCTCATATTCATAAACAGAGGTCGATCAATCCGCTCAACATGTTGACCTCAACCCCCCACCCCCAACCCCCAACCCGCCCTGGTGTTTTTTTGTTTTTCTTCTTTTTTTTTGCGTTTTCTCCTTTGCCCGAGGTGCCCCAGTGTGTGCTTCACGCTGCTCACCAGCTTCTGCTGCGGCGGCCTGGCCTTGGCCTACCTGGACCTCGCCGGGCTTGGTGCCTCGGACCGCGTGCCGCGGTGCTGCGGCGCTCGCTCGCCCGCTCGCTCCCGAACACCCGGGTCGGGGGTGGGAAAGCTGGGTTCAACGGGAGACCCAAAGGAAGGAAGAACCCTGGTGTTTGGAGGGTCCCCTGTATTTTGAGACCCGCCCAAATGGGTTTTGGCGGCCCAGGACTCTATAATGTTTTTTTATTCTTCTTTTTACATAAGAATATATGTGTGGTTTAAAGGGAACCCACAAGAGGGAAGCATCATTTGTTGGTGTCACCATATTTGACACACACACACACACACACACACCAATACCTGCTGTGTAATCGGGTATGTGTTGAAGAAGCAGGCTAACTGTGGTAAATCCTTCCAGGGGTTGGCATGCCCTAAAAATAGGTGGGTGCAGGTCCCCCCTTTATTTATTTTTTTTTGGGGGGGAACCCCACAAAAAAAAAACAGCACCTTTGGTTCGGGTTAGTGAGGCAAGCAAGCCGCAAAAGGAAACGGGGGCCTGGCTCATACCGAGTTCCATGGGCTATGGGGAGTGAAAACAAGTTGTTGCCAACCCAGCCAGAAGCCTTCCGACTTGGGTCGGGCTTACCATGAGTGGCCCAAATGATGCTGGTGAGGCCTTTCTACCTGCGCCAACTGAGGGATAAAGCGCCTCCTCCTTTTTGCAACCGCAACCACCAGCCGGACAGAGGGGGACAGAGGGGGACAACTAGATATGTACCCTTCAAAATGTCCCAGACCTCCGGTGGTGCCTCACCACAGGGGGTGAAGAGCTGGCTTCTCAGCGTGATGCACCCCGGTTTTGCCCTGGTGGCTGTGAAATGCACACCAGGCTCGGCAACAGATGGGTGTGGGTCGAAATGAAACCAACTACGCCGGTATGTGTAAAATAGTCTCACTTGGTTTCCCTTATGAAAACCGAAGAAAGGTTCGGTGAAGTTCAGGCCAGCTGTTTTGCACAAGGAGTTGGCGCAACCCCGATGGACGCACTTTGGAGCTGTTCGGTTCATCCACTGAATTTAAACCGGCGGGGTGCAGAAGCTCAGCGGCCGTGGCGCGAATTTTTGTGTTGAAGCAACCGGAACCTGGTCGAAGGTCTTTTTCCCCAAGAAGTTTGCTAAAAAATGCATTTGCTTTGTAGGCCATGTATGGGGTGATTTTGGCGTCAACAGCACTTCCCATTTTGAACATGCCCTTCCACGAACGTGAAGCCAGCAAGGAAACACCCCTCTAGAGAAAACATGTCTTTGACAACCACCCAGTCAGCTCCCATGCTACTTGTTGGAAGGGTAGATGTTTCCCATCATGGCTTGCCCCATTTTACTCTCTTTAGACATGCGCCCAAAAAACAAGACCAGCCACCCGTATCTCTTGGTATTGGCCGCCGGGGCTAGTGGAAACCCGCCGTGAGGGTGTACTCCAGAGTTGTGTGATTGTGTGAGACAGGGTGCCCTTCCAAATGGAACAACTTTTGCCAGTTTTGAAAGTCCCCCCCCATTCTGACACATATGTCAAATGACTGGCTTTCTGTTGATTTTTCCTTGAAGCAAACCAAAAAGGGATTCCCGGCGGTTCCCCCAAAACAGTGGCTCCCCCAACCAGAACTTGTTTCCCCCCGAACCAAGCGTGGTTTTCGCCCCCGAGCCAAACGTGGGTTCCCCCCGAGCCAAACGTGGTTTCCCCACAACCCAGCGTGGATTCCGACTAACCGTGAATCCCCCACATACACAAAAAACATAAATAAATCAAACAGTACAAACATAATTCAATAATAAAACTAAGCAACAACGTAGACACACAATTAAAAGGAATAATCACACATAAGCAATGACATATATCTGTATATAAGGGCCCGGAGGTCCGGCGGTTCAACGCCGAGGCGGGGCGAAGATTTGCCTGCTGCAGCTGATGGGCTCTCTGCCGGTGTGGATTGCAGCGATCAGCATCGCAGCTTGGAGTTCGGAACACCGGATGAAACCCTTCAACGGTTCCCAGGCTTCCTCTTTCTTTCTTTTTTTTTGGGGGGGGGGGGTTGATACATCACTCTTTGGTTGCGATTTTGAAGGCGTGTTTGCTTCGGGGGTGGATGTTTTAGGGGAAATGTAGGGGAGGCCGGCAACATGGATTGTAGGGAGTCAAGGGCCAACCCTTGAGAGCAGGGGCAGTGCCAGATGTCCTTCCCATCCAAACACAACAAAGCAACTATTGGAGTCTCCGCACCAAAACCTAAAGCAAACCACAGGACAGAGAACAAATACACAAACGGACAGACAGACAGAGAGACAGATAGGCAGACAGGCAGGCAGGCAGGCAGGCAGGCAGGCAGGCAGGCAGGCAGGCAGACAGGCACACAGGCAAACAGACAGGCAGGGCAGGCAGGCAGACAGGCAGACAGGCAGACCGGCCAACACACAGACAGGCAGGCAGGCAAACAGGCAGACAGACAGGCAGAAAGGCATTTAGGCAGGCATTCAGGCAGGCAGACAGGTAGGCAGGCGGGCGGAAACGCGGGCAGGCAGACAAGCAACAAACAGACAAGAAACAAACAAACAAACAAAGAATGCAACCACACAAACAATTGTTTTCCTTCTCGCTCGGGAAGTCCCACTGAGCACATGTTCGGCCCAGGTCAGCGCCAAGAAGACAGAGGAGGGCATCCCTTTGTCGGACAACGCCTACCCGGCGTCTCTTCGTAATGGGAAGAGGGGTGGGGTGGGGTGGGGGGGGGGCGGTGAGGCCAGCAATATTCCTTCCTCCGTTGATTGACTGATGAATATAAAGCTTCTAGATAGTTAGAAGTTATGCAGCCCCTCAATTAAACCTCAATCCTCGGTTGTACTTGAAGGGGATTCCAAATTGGACTGGGAGCAATTTTAAGGTCCTTCGCATCCGCATTGTATCTCTTAATATTGAAGAGAAACCAGAACAAAAGCCACCAGAGGCGGCGCACACGTTCTTGGAGAGATCCATGTTCGCGAGGCATGTTTGAAGGGGCGCAGAAGGATGTCGATCATGGCGTCTCGTTGCATCGCGTGCGGAGAAGAAAATCAACCCCCAGACCATCCGATGGATATACACCCTTTGTACAGTGCCTACGTGGCTTTTGGAATGCTCGGATGGAGCCCAAAAAGGGCCCCCCAAGAATAATTTTGCTCTACAAAAGACCGGTGGCTGTTCGGCTTCCATGTAGCGTGTAGACATCGGGGGCCAACAATGGCGAACAGGTTTTCCTTGTGTTCGTTTAAACCAACTAGCAGATGGCACCATTGGGTCTTAGTCACTGAAGGGGTCTACCCACCCATGAGGGTGTGTCTTTTTCCAGGCGAACCCCGCAAAATGACGGGTTTCCTTCTGCTTTTGCTTCAAAACCACAGACGAAAGGTACCCGTACCCGTTGCCTCAAAAAATGATCAGGGGACCCATGAATCAACGAATCAGGTGAGTCCCCTCGCCTTCTTCCTGAACCTCCTGTGGTTCGAGGGCCTGCTGCGGGTGGCCTGGCCCAGCGATGACGAGGCGATTCGTTCCAGTCACATTCCAACCAGAGAACCAACCGGGTGTGTCTTAAAGGGGAGGCCCAAAAATTGGCTTGAAGACCTAAATCAAGCACCAAAAGAGTGCCAAACCCAAGAAAAGACACTTTATAAGGTTTAACAAATGTTTCGACATGCCAGAAGTCACTGAACCTCATGGTTTGTTTGGTTTGCCTTTGTGACTTTGGGCATCTCAAGCTGTTGCTACCTCTTGGAGACCTCCAATTGAACCGCCCAAAACCTTGTACCCCGGGACCTGTCTTTACGGGTTGGAACCCCATGGTTTGGTGGTTCTTAAAAGGAGGCTGAGAAGAACCCCACCATCTTGGGGGGTCACACTCAGATGTCAAGGTTCCAAAGTTGGCAAGTGGATCCTTTCGGATGACGAGCACACCACTTTTCGGGTGCCTGGCGAGCAAAAACCATGAAACCACAATGTCGGTCCAAATTGGGGATCCTTTCTTTCAGGTTGTTTAATTAGAAGATCCTTGGGTTTTCGTTACAGGGGCCAACATAGTACCCTTGTGCAGATGGGTCCGTCAGAGCAGCATGTTTCTCGGGTGAATCAAACTCAGAAAAAGGAGGGGGGTTGTTTCTCTTGCACCTACGACGCAAAAGGTGACTTTGACAATCCATCTACCTGTACAATTAGCAAGGAACCACCCTTTAAAAACCAAGAGGTAAACGGCTGGTTACCTACTATAGTGGCTTGCCTGGCATCCACTGGGAATGGTAAAATCAGCGGACCAGGGTCTTCAAAGCCCAAATGCTGGAAGAACACCGCCTGTCTGCTCGCCCCACAAAACTTCGCCGCCAGGCGACGCTTCCGCGACTCTTCCGCTCGGTGATCTTTCTGGACGTTTTCGAGGAGCGGGCTCTCTGGTGCTGGAATATGGGTGTCTCAGAATCGCCTAAACATGGGCGTGGTGTTTTCCCCTTGCATTTAAAGGCATCCCAGACAGGGGTACCATCAAAGAAAGCCACAAAGAACACAGGGGACCGCCTCCAAAGTGACCTAGGCGAACGGGGCAACTGACATGACCTCAGTCTGCGACCAATTTCATGGAGTTCCTTAGGATGTCGTGGTTGTCGAGCATGATGCCTCTCTACATAGAGAACGGGCGTATGAAGGGTAAAGGGCATTCACACATAGAATGGTATGTGTCAGGGGTACTCCCGGGCTACAGAGAGCAGCGCGAGGCTTTTTTGTACGGCTCCATGAGGACCAAGCCCCGCATGCTTTGAAGAAAAGGTGGGATTCTTGAGTGTATATCCTCAGGTCTCCCCGCACCAGGCTGGCAGTACAATGAATTTGGGGGGGGAAGTCAGTCAGAAGCAAAGGGAACAAGTTGAGTTCGAGCCTTTGGATTGATCCCCAGGACATGGGTCTGGACGATGAGGCCAACATTGACCAGCAACAGATCCGGCGCCAGGCAAGTGAGCGGGTATCATTTTGGGCAAACAGGGATGGATCGGCACCTGGGCTTGGTGGCTTATAAATTATAGGGCTTCCTCCATCCAAAATGATGCAACATGGGTTTTGTCCACTTGTCGCCTCCTTGGTGTGGTGCCGGCAAACAAGATTAGTTTTGTCTTCCTATTTTATGGCGAACAAGCCCTCTATGTAGTTGGCTTTTGCTTGGGGAAGCCTGATTTCAGTGGGCATATTGTACAACTTGCCAGGTAAACTGAGAAAGAACCCACACAGTATATAAATCGCTAGCTTTTGCCTTTGCCCTCCGCCAGAATTCGAGCAAAGGGGTTTTGTCGTGGGAATAGGGTTCAAAAACTCGCCCAGTTTCTGGACTTTGCGCGTTTTGGGAACATCACTTTTGTTGTAAGGGGACGGCGCTAAGAGAGCAAGGCAACAAGTCCATGGACTTCTGCTGACCGATCTCAGGTGAAGGTTGGCCTAAGTCTTGCCCTGGCCTTTTGGTGTGGATGGAGCACACGAAAGCACACCAGCTGGAATCCTGCACCAGGTCTCAAAGCTGCCTGAACTGACCTGTTCCCCTTTTTCTTGTCAAACACCTGCCAAAAAAGTGACAACTCGGGGCTCTCAACGATCGGGGGACGCTTTCCTCGGCGCCAGGGCAGCATGGCGAGCGTCGGGGAGAGTTTGCGGCCGGAGCCGCTGCAGAAAGAGGAGGTGAAGAGCGCGGACAAGGCGCGGGGAGCGGCGCTCGAGTGGCGCCGTGAGGCCTCGCGAGACGGTCACTTTGACCCGTTGGGACCCACGGGGTGGTGAGTCGTTTGTGTGGGGGTTTGGGAGGGTTTCCTCCAGACATTTTACGGGGGTTGGGCTTTGCGCGGCATGTGGCCATTGGGAGGTTTGGTTGCGGGGGTTCGTGTTTTTAGGCCCCCCTTCAATCCTTCTGGGACAATTTGGAATGAGTTCCTTTTGGATGATGACTGCGCTCGGTAAGTAGGTTGCAACCATAGCTGCAGCCGGCAAAGCCCATCCTGCTTATTAACATGGTTTTAACCAATGGGATGCCCTGGTCGAAGCTAGACCCTTATCCTTAGTGTTCTTGGTGTGTGATTCTCGAGATGCCCCCTCACAAAAGTGTGGGGGTGCTCCCCCACAGGTGAAGGACCGGGAACGCCTCCTACTAAGTCGCCATGAGTTGAACCGTTTGTCCGGGATGCTAGAAGGGAGGGGGTTTGCAATCCACCATTTGTTTTCGTACTGCGCGGCTCAATTTCCAACATTGAAACAAGGCTAACATGGTGTTCTCTTTGTTTTCAACGATCTTAGATGCATTGCTATCGCAACAAGATATCATCTGCAAGGAAGATCTTTCAAGTGCACCGCTGCACCGCTGCACCGCTGAACCGCTGGATCGAGGCCCTCTTCGCGGCCCACTGGGCGCTGCGGAGGTGGGAGGCGCTGCCGGAGACTTTGCCGGGCTTCACGGCCGGAGCCCCAGGCCGCGAGGCCCAGGGGATGGCAGGCGCAAGCGCAGCCAAATTCGAAGAGGGCCAAAACCCCCCAACATGGAAATCTGAGTCGGCTCTACCTGGTTTCATGGAGATTGTAGTCTTTATTGGGGACAGTTGGAGCGTTATATTAATCAGTGGGGTTTCGGGCGACAAATGAGGAGGTGGAAGTGGGAGCGGCACGAGTCCCTGCAGAAGTTCGTTGCCGCAAGTTTGGGATCCTCGGCCACCAAGGGCCCACCCATTTGAGGGGACAAAAGTGGTCGGGATTGGAATCAAGACTTTGGCATGATGTTTGGGTCACCTTGTGCCTAACAGCCCTCAGACTTCCGAGTTACGAGCCTCTGGGGTATTGGTTGACCTCAGATCTAAGCAGAACCTGGCTGTCCTCCCCCCCCGCCTGCCAAAGTGAGGAAACCGAAACACGCACCCTACTGTACCAGGGGTTTAATCCGGGAATCGTCCATCACCCTCCGACCAACGTCGACGTGCACGGACCCCTTCGGTAGGCCTCCGGAAAGGGTACCATCGAAGCTGAGGCGGACATGAAGCTGCAGCGCTCGCGTATCCGGCCGCGGGCCCATCATGGGGCGCTGGAAGGAGGAGCAATGGAACCTCTTTGGAGACGATGAAAGAACCGTGTAGCTGGTTTCTTCGAAGCCTTCCGATTAATTATATTGACGAGGTTGGTGTTGCGAAAAATTTATCGGCATTGCTTAATCCCTACTTGGATGTTCAACATGGAAAGCATAAGTACATGCTTACTTATAACTTATGACCTCACAAACATGAACATCCGAGTTGTAATTGATCTCCATTCCTTCCTGGTCAGAAAGAACATGTATATTGAACAGGGAGCAAACATGCTTTCATGGGGTGGGGATGCTTTGTTTCCACGTCTTCCTTTCCAACGAGAAACTCAGAGCTCGAATGGCAACCATCTTTCCCAAGGTGTTGTGGCTCGGCGCATGCCCCGCCCCATTAAACCCTTTTCGAGAAATTCCGCGGGGTGGTCCGAAGTGGGTGCAACAAGAAGGCTGCGGGCCAGCACACAGGAAAACCCAGACTACCCAACGAAGCCCAACCCAACAACAGCCTGAACAACAACACAAACCCACACAACCTAAAGTGCACAGCACCAGACCAACCCAACAAAGAAAACAAGCAAGCAGACAAAAGCGTTTCTAACAGCACCCAACAACCCAGCGCAAAGAATCTTACAAACCACGCGACAAAGGCCAACTCGAAACCAAACGAAACATGATTCAAGTTTTTTGTTTTGCGTTTCAGTTGTGTTCTTCCTTTCCGCAGTTGTTTCAGTCGTGTGTAAGAAACTCCAGGTGGGTGCTTTTTCGAGGGTATCCTTTTTAGGTTTGTTCAAAGGTAAGCAACCACCATTTTGGGGTCCATTCGAGGGATTCTCAAAAACTACTTTTGGGTGTGCATGTTTTTAGGCACAAGTACGACCTCTGGCACGAGACCTTCCTCGGAGAGCTCTCGAAGCGTAGCAAGGCGGGTAGATAGTTTCAAGGGCAACCACCAGTTGTTTAAGCTCTTGTTCATTGAGACATGCCCATAGCCCCATAGTTGGTGGTTGCAATTGGTAATATCTGGTTTTATGATTCTTGTAGGGCCTGCATGAATCTTCGTTCCGTCAGAACCAAAAGTCAAAGGGCTTTGAGCGCTCAGTTGTATTCAAAGAGCATGTCTATGACGGGGTCCCCTGGTGCCATAACAGTGAAGAGCGAGCAGCACGCACCCCTTTTTACGTGGCAATAACAGCTGATCGTCACTGGTTTTAGGCCCAAGGGGGGGCACCTGGACCAAGTAACCAATGTGAGTGTACAACCCCTGATCTTTTCCAGTTTTAATACCAGTGTAAGGGTACAACCCCTCTCCTTTTCCAGTTTTAAGGGTTGGGTTTGATGGATTGTGGGAGACTCGTAAAAACAAACCCGAGCAGTAGCTGATGTCCAAGCCCTTGGCCGTAGGTCCTTCACTTGGAAATGTGGTGTTAGGCTTGTAAATAGCCTACACAACGAGGTTCTCTGGCAGTGGCTCATTTGGGGAGGGAGAGGGGGGGACGAGCCCCGAATTCCGTTCTTCTTTCCCACAAAACAGTCGCGAACTACCCAAATCCTGGTCAGCAAGGTTGTCTGTTGCTTATGCACAACCTGGACCTCGATATGGTGACCTTTGCTTTCGTGTCTTTTCTGAAACTGTACACCCACATCCTCGGGGTTAGGTCTTTCCTTGATCATTCGTGCGTTGAAGTGACATCCTCCAAGTCACCCGCTCGAAATTGTTTGCAACTCCCCCCCAACATGAGTTGGCAAAAAAAAGCAAAAACATGTGCGAAGCCCTGACATGCTCTCACTCACGCCTTCAAGGAGTCGGCGTTTTTGAGGAGTGCCCTTTAGGCCGCATCCCCAACCCGGACGAAACTGCTCGGAACCCTCCAGTCCTTCCGACCGGCGAAGCCATGCGTCAGTGAGTGCACACCGAAAAACAATTCTTCGCATATGTATCCAGGCATTTAGACAATTATTACATATATTTTACATAGTTCTAGTGCCTAGGGGGTTGATTCTCCATTCTGTTCAAACAACCTTTCTCAAAACCGAGTCGCTTCGCAGGGTTTCTGGCGGTTTTCTGGAAAGGATCTCTGGAAAGAACGGGGACGACTCTCCCGCACCTCTTATTGCGGCGCCTTTTTAACATTATTTGGTTAACGACTTCGCGCTTGCGGCAAGTGAAAACACGATGGTGAAACCACATGAGCCCTTTGTTAGCTATCCCCAACAGCCCCAGAACCCCGCTGCATGCTCCGAATCAGCCAGGAGCTATTATTTGGGCGCAGAACCATTGACCGCATTTCTTCTCACATTCCTTTCGGATGTCATAGTTTAACCATCCCCTAGTGTTCAACCCCAATTAAAAGAATGGTTGACCGAATTAAGATGATGACAATCCTTAGGTAAACAATGGTGGCTATACGAACCCAACCATTTTGTTAATGCTTGTTTGAACCCCGCATCTGCAAGCTCTCTCAACTTTACAGGTGTTTGGGTATGCGGAAGAAGAACCGCCTCCCCTTCTCACCTTGCGAGGCTGGCTCCGAGACGGCGGTGCTTCAGGATGACCCTAGGCCCTGGCACGCCCTGGACGAGGACGAGAAGGAGACCTCGGATTGGACAAAGGGAAACCACGGAAAAGGACGCCATTGTTGGGGGATTTGGGTCTCATGTCAGGTACCCTCTCTGTGGATCCTTACAGGAAACCAAGGAAAAGGACGCCTTTTTAGGGGATTTGTGGAGGGGTCTCATGTCGAGACAATCGTACTGAAAGGCCTTTTGACGTTTTGCCTTTCCGAAATTCGCAGACCCTTCGGTCGCGCAAGGTGTGGCAGGGTTGCTTCGAGCCTCTGAAAGTTTCCGTGGATGAAATTGAGAAGATTCTCTGGGCACTGTTGATCGGGGAGTTCCGGCCAATTCAGAGGAGATCCAGCTATCACTTTTCACGGACGAAACCTGTACTGTGTCAGACAATTGTATTCTTCAGAAATCTTTGAGATAGTTTGAGCTGAGTAGGGGCGGGGTCCAGAAATAGAGAATGCATGAAGTTGTTCTAATTAGTGGGGACCGAGCGTCTAAAACGATGCTAACTCTATCGAATTCAGCTTGGTCTTCAGCGGCAACCATGAAGGTACGTAGACATCAAGCGGGAGAAATGATGTAAGATGGATTGGCTCCGGAGGCTGTGCCACTGCAGGTCATTACACCTAGCCTGAGCCGACACCGTGGCAAGGGCCGACGCCCAGCGCAACCCAGACACACTTGACCAAGTTACCTCCAGAGCCCCGAACAAATGCATAAGCACACCTCCGTATTTTTGATCGGTGTCAGTTTGGCTTCTCTTTAAAACGATCCAAAGGTACATGATGAAGTAGGTACTGGCTGCCCCGCTGGCCAGCGCTCCCCCCCTTCTTGGTTTCCCATTTGTAGGGCTTCACTACCATCAAACGCTCAAATATTCTCCAAGATGGTTTCCCATATGGTTTCCCATATGGTTTTAGGTCGAATATGTGTTTCCCCCTTTGTTCGGTTCCCATCTAGCTTCCCAACATCCAATGGTTGCGTTGCCTTCTTGCCTGCCGGTTTCACCCGGTTTCATTCGGAGGAGGAGGATCCCTTCTCGGGGTCCCTGCTGGGGCCGTTTCTCGGCAGAGCTCTTTCCGCGCTTTGCAACCGGAGGTTGGCAACCACCAGCCGGTGGCATCAGATCGGGCTTTCTTTTGTTTTTGGGGGTGGAGGGAGGGGGGGGGGGTGTTTAGGGATTCTTGGAAGATCTTGCACCAAAAAAGAGGGCCTTTTCTGAGATGCGAGGGAGGGCCAGGTGCCCCCAAGAAAGGGAGACAGACAGGCTTTTGGGTCTTCGCATCTTCAGCAACTCAAATCTATCAAGGGAGCCTTTGGGACATGAAAGTGAATGGGTCAACCCACGTTACTTCGCTGCAATGAACCAAGCAGAGGATCGACCTGTTGACCTCTGAAAGAACTCAGGTGGGTACAAAGAACACATGGATCCCAGTTTTTTCTCGGTATCTATTCAATCCAAGGTAGAACCATGGGCTTTGGTTTTCCTTACCATTTCCCGCTGGGGCGCCTCAGGTCCCGTGGTACGAGAAGTGAGGAGGCTGACTCCAATTGTTCTTCGTCAGTTTTTTTTTTCAAGTGGGAAAGCGCGGGCAAAAGCAAAAATACTTCGCTTCGAGCAATCCCCACCCTCCACACTCACAAGCTTACGACCGTTACAACAAATTATTCCGCATCCTGGAGACTTCGACTCCAAATTCAAATCGGCCCTTTTGGACAGTAAGCAAAACCATACTGGCGAGCTGCTCTGGCGGGATATTGGCGGGATCCACTGGCGAATACTGGCGAGCCACGGATACTCGGCAGGATCCACCGGCAAGGGATCAGCGGGATACTTGGCGGGATCCACTGGCAGGCTGCTCTGGTGGGATGCTGGCGAGCTACTCTGGCGGGATCCACTGGTGAGCTAGTGGATACTCGGCGGGATCCATTGGCGAGCCGCTCTGGCGGGATACTCGGCGGGATCACTGGCAAGCCGCTCTGGCGGGATACTCGGCGGGATCACCTGACGAGCAGCTCTGGCGGGATACTGGGCGGGATCCACTAGCCAGCTGCTCTGGCACGATACTCGGCGGGATCCACTGGCGAGCCGCTACTGGCGAGCTCTGGCGGGATACTCGGCGGGATCCACTGGCGAGCCGCTCTGGCGGGATACTGGGCGGGATCCACTGGCGAGCCGCTCTGGCGGGATACTGGGCGGGATCCACTGGTGAGCAGCTCTGGCGGGATACTCGGCGGGATCCACTGGCGAACTGCTCTGGCGGGATACTGGGTGGGGGCGTAGTGTAGAAGCATCGCAAACGCGGATTCCAACATAAAATCTAACAACCCCTTCCTGTCGGGTGGGGAACACGACCAGAAACCCCATCCTTTTGGTCGCCCTGAAGGGCAACTCCCAAATCCCTTGCCGGATCCAGACTTTTGCGTTGATCCAAGCACGGTACATAAACACAAAGGTTTTCTGGGGATTTGGCGTGTTTGCGCAGATGGCGCTTCTTGAGTTGCGCTGACGGTGTCTTGCTTGAGGTTCTGTCAGTGAAAAACCTCTTTGAGTGCTTGACATTGCACCTTGCAACCAATGTTTTTTGCTTATTTAATCACATGTTTCCGGGAAGCGCTTTGGTTTCGGCCCTTTAAGTAGCCTGTTCTTCAACCTGTTCTAAACCATCAGCTTCTCTCAGGATCCCCATCAGTAGGCAGGGTCATTGCACATGAACTTTGCCCGACATTGCAGTCGGCATAGGCGGCCAATTTTGGGGTTCGGGACGGGCCTACCGCCATCGTTTGATCGCAAGTGGGAGGTTGCAGTGCATTTGTGTTACAAAGGCCACACACGGCTGCTGGTAGTGCTTCTGTGTTTCTCACAATCAATTGGAGCAACCCAGTTTGAGGTTCAGTATGTCTAGTCTATGTTCAATTAAACAAACTTACTGGAGCTGGGCCTCACTCAAATTCCCATTATGGTAACAACATGGGTCTGTGTTTTAGGAGCGTATCATCTTTAAGAAAAGCCACTATTTTGTGGGTTCCCCTATTTTCAGACCTACAGCTATATGCAAATTCAAGAACAACTCCATTTGGCCTCCCGGAAAAATGGCTTCGGGGTCAGGCGGTTGACCGCCAACTTTGGCCAAGGTTCACCGTGGACAGCCGGCCCGCCGCTTGACTTGCAAACCGCAAGAGATCGATTGGGGGTAAGGCCCCTGCATTTGTTTGCCAGGTTTGGGACCCATTCTGTATGGACCAGAATCACCAGAGGTGGAGGTATCACTTCAGAAAATCCACAGAGGGTTCAGAGCACGAATCTTGTTAGGGCAAGTAGGTTCATCTTTCCGATTCTCAGCCATGAACAGAGAAGCCCACCCATTTTCCACTGGGTGTTGGTTGCCATTTTCTCATGGGAAGGATCCCTATGGGACGAATTTTGTTGGTGTTTGTTGGCTCTTTAACCACGTCAGAAGCCCAAACAGTCCCTCAAGTCAAAGAGCCCGTCCGACTCAGAAGAAATTCAGTTTTGTTTGGTCCATTGATCTATGGGGGACAATCCCGAACGCAAACCTGGGGTTCGGTGAACATCGCCAGCAGTCTGAGTTGAAGTGCGATGCGGGACATGCGGATGTCTGACATGTCAACCACTTAAATCAGGATTCACTAAATGTCTGATGTGTGGTTGTCTCACGATTTGCCCCCGCCCGAATGGTTGTTTTCTTGCCGGTTTTCTTTTAACCCGGAAAAAATGGGGAATCAGCCTCTAGAAAAATAGGGAGCCTGCTTTTGGATTGCGTTGGGTTCAAAGAGAGCAACAGGATGTCATAAGTGGGCGACTCGGGTTTTGGCTTCCCTGTTTGCGTTCCCTTCCCCCATTCTAGTTTAAGGCGTCCCCATGTTTGGCATTTCCATGTTTTTGGTCAACTGTTTCAAAGCTGCTGTTGTGATTCCAGCGTTTCTGCCCTTGGAATTGGGCCATGCCTGTGCGTCGCACGTTCTGTTGGGGACATGTCGAATCTTTGGTCGCCGCAACTTCTATCTCCTATCGTCTTTTGGTCGCTTTCAAATGAGTTTGCTCTTGTAAAAACAAAAAAAGCAACAACGCATATAAGAAGCCCTGTTAAAACTGGTTGTGGGAACCCGTTGATTCAGCAGGGGGGCGGCAAGACATTTCAGAGAAGATCCGGATATCACTTTAGGGGGAAGCCCAAATGAAAGAAGGATCGCGGATTTTTATTATTAATATTTTTTCCGTCCTCAAGGACGCCTTTCTGGAGACACGCTTTTTTGTTTGGCTGAGTACGCCTGTGATGGTCAGAACCAATTATACGGGAGAGGGAGGGCGTTCCCCAGTCTTTTGCCGGGTGAAGCGGCCAGACCTCTGAGGTCTACTACAATCTGGAGGCTGGAGGGGGAAGTGATGGGAATTTGTGCAAAAACAGGGTTCTCCACCAGTGGTTTTCTAAATGTCTATTCAAAATGTGTGTCTTTGCTAAGCAATCTATTTGCACATGGCAGAAGGCGATGATTGAAACAATCAAATGAAAGCTCCAAGATAGCGTTTGACTGTCGTATCCCTGGCACATCTTCCACATCAGAAGCGCGCGGCAAGTATGTTAAGCTTGGCTGTTCCCAGCCATACCCTTAGCCGTTTATAGGGATTTATGACATATCCCACGAAAGCACGGAATCAACGCACCACCAAGTAAAGTGTTTAGTAGTGGCCGTGAATGGGACACACGGACCACACTGCTTCTCACTGCGGGGCCAAGGAGCAGGGCAACAGGTTTTGGACGTACTTCCAACAAGAAGCAACCATAAGCCTTCGCAAGCTTTGTGAGGAACCAGCTTATGCATGAGTCAAACATGTGGGCAAATCACAAATTGCTTGCATCGAAGAAAGGGGGGAAATCGAGCTCACTTCCCTGCTTGAGAATTCGAAGGGCCGGAGGATAGCTTATCTTGGCCCCTTTTAAACGCGCTTCTCCTGTCCCGGAGAAAAATATCAAACATAAACACATTGCCAGACGTAACTCACCTTTTGCCCTTTGGCTCTTTTGGGTTCTTTCATTTCCTTGACCAGCAAATTGTTCACTGGGGCCCAGGGTGTGGGCAACGCACTTGCAGAGGGTGCCTCATTCGTCTTCGAAAAAGCCTTCGGCTAAAATTATGATGGCCGACATCTGACTCGGAATCCCATGGCATTCAACGCGAAAACCATTGAAACACGGCAATCCATTTGGAGGCCTTTGCCTTCGATGGAAGCTCACATGCTTTTCTCTTCGAGGCCGCTTACATGAATGTTAACAAGGTGCTCAATCCAAACCACACCCCCAACTGGGTTGGCGTTTGTGAGGGTACCTGTTTTGGAGTTGTGTCAAAGAGCAACCAACACGGAAACTTCTAGGGAACACTTCCCCATTCTTTCCAGGGATCCTTCTTTCCAGAAAACCATCAGAACCCCAGGGGAAACAGCTGGTTTGAAAAGAACAATGGTTGAAACAAATGGGGAATCAACCCCTAGAAAACTGCCGATCTTGCGCCGGCTCCAATTGACTCGGTCATTTCACAGGTTCCAAGCCGAAAGCTGCGAGAAGGGTTAGGCCAACCCCTGGAAGCATGTTGCCGCTCTTGTTTGAGCGGTATCCAATTGGTTTCCCTGAAGGGGACCGGGTGAAGGCAAATTGCCCAACCCTCCTTTTGGCTTTCCTTTAATTGGGCTTTTGCAGAAACCGTATTTTTTTTTGTAAAGAAAACAATCATATAAACACCCAAGTCCCTTCAAGTCAAACTTTGCAGCCCTGGCCGTGAAGTGCGCAGGCGGGGGAGATCGAGCGGGGGTCGCACCGGAATGTGGAGGTTCTCGCGCTGAGCGAGGCAGGGTCCCAATTCAAGGACACCAGCGGCCAATTCGACACGCTGGTTCAAGGAGGAGGGTAAAATGGGAAGCCAGCCCGGAACACCAAACCACCAACCAGTGGGAGGCTGACACCAGGGCACACCAGGCCGAAGTTCCATGCGCTCAGGCTACGTTCAGGATACATGGCCCTCATAGCCCACTGCTTTTTGGCCAAGGCAAAAAATCACCACCGGCTGGTTTCGGGAATGCCGATTCAACCAGGCGGTCTTTGGATGTAATGTAATGTGAAGTCCGGAGGACACTACTGGTCCGAGGAACCCCCAACAGATCATTTGCAAAGGGGGAACCACTCAAAACCCCAAATGGCAATGGTTTCCTTTTGGTTCCCCTTAAACCAGCCCCCAAAAGGGGTACCCTTCCACCAATGAACATGGAGCCTGTCAGGGGTCCCTTGAAAAAGGAAAATGGTCCAAACCGGGACCCTCCTGTCAGGCTCCATGTGAATGAATTGGTGGGAGTTGGTACCAACTCAAACAACAACTGGCTGTGGGTCAAAAATATCCCTGGTAAATGGAAACATGGACTAAAACCTGCGGTCCAATTCCGGGCATACCCAACAAGACGCAGCGCCGATCCTGAGGTGCAGTCCATCGTGGAGGCCGCGGAGGCAAAGGTGCGGCGCCTGCTAGGCGCGGAGACGAGACCGGGAGACCGGGAGACGAAGAGGAGAGAGCGGCCGAGTGTTGTTGGAGTTCGTGGCGTTTGGGTGCCTCGTCTTCTTTTTAGGGTAGCCCCCACAATAGTGGTGTTCCTTTTGATGTTCTTTTTTAAGATTGCTAAAAAAAGGGGGGAGGGGGTACCCTCAACAGAAAAGGCAAACCCAGTTGGAGGTGTTTTGAGCTATGGACGGCAAGCAAATATCTGTTGTTTGTTTCAAAAGCTGAGGCAGAGGGGGGAGGGAGGGGAATGGATGCAACTGGATTGAGGTATGTTCTGTTCCTTTATGGACATGTGCACATCCCTTTGATGTTGGGAGGTCCAATCCAAGCTGTTCTTGCCATGTTTACTGGTTTGTTTTGATAGTCGTTTGCAATAAAGTTTGCTCGCACACGCTTGGGGAAGCTCAATTTGTGGGGAATGGGACGCCTCCCGAGAGGAGGCTCACAAGATTGCGGGAAGCCAAGGAATCCATTTCGTGTTCCTGGGGCGTTGTTGAGAGAGGTCCAAGCCTGCGCGAAACTCGCGACTGCTCGCGACCGGTTTTCCGTTTCATGGGAGAACTGCGCCTTGAGTTCTTTGGCTCTCTATGGATCTTCTTTGTCTGAGCCCTCCACATTTTCCCTTCCCAGGTACCCCCCCCTTTTGTTGGTTGCTTTTTGACGGGTAGGTTCTCGGCAATTTCCCGTTGAACATATTAGAGCGAGCGGCATGTCTGCTTCCCTTTTGTTCCCCCTTTCTCACTCCCTGAAGATAACTCCTGGCTCCTTTTTTCCTCCTTAAACATCACCAACAAGCTCACTTTAAATTGGTCCAAAAGTGTCCAAAGGGCAATATAGGGACTGAAAGGTCTGCAGAAAACAGAGACTCCCCCGCGGTTTGCCCCCTTTTTTCAGCTGTTCTTCGGAGGGGCCTTTGCCTTTGTCACGACAAAACCACAGGCCGTGGGACCGCTGATGTCAGGCACCGCGGCTGCGGCGCGCGGCTCCAGCTCCAGCGAGACGGACTCCGAGTCCAGCGATGGGGTGCAGAGAGGCCGCAGCCGGGAGCCCCGATGAGCCGAGCCGATCTTAACGCAGAGCCACGCGCTCAAAACCGGGAAGCTCTTAGGCACCGGTGATCTTTGAGTGGGTGTAGTTCGCCAATGACTGAAAAGTCAAGTGAGCCACAATCAAAACCCGGGTACATGAAGGTTAGTAAGGGGCAATCCCAACCAGAAATAGCTGCGGCCGCCTTCTTCATTCTTGAAGCATCGTTCTTGAAGTAGACCATTTACATACCGGGTTTTGATTGTGACTCAGCCGTCGCTTTCGTTGGGCGGTGGCGGAAATTTGTTTCAACGACCTTGGCGAGTCCTTTGGCTCATTTTTCGAGGTCGTGGTTTGCCGGCCCTCCATCCCAAAGCGCAGTTTCGGACGTGATCCTTTCGAAATGATGACCAAGAAACACCCTAGGAGTGGATTGGCCGAAACAAGTCCCAAGCTGTTTATATACGTTAAAAATGGTCCCATGCTATTGGGAACACGAGAAAGCGATTTGGATCCAGCTCACAGGATCCGGGTTTGGTTGCAGTGATTTAAACATGTTTGGGGTTGGCAACTCTGTGTTTCGCGCAGCAAATGAAGGAAGGCACGGCACATGAGTAGATGGCACAGTTTCCTTGATTTGTAAGCAAACGGGACGACGTGGGATGACAACCAAAGTGGAGAAATCATGCGATCTACCTTCACCCAGCTGCAGGGATGCTGTTGCCAGCACAGATTTGGAAGCAGCTGGCTTGAAGTAATGGACCCCATTGCTTCGATTGCTTTGCCGAGACGGAGTCTCTAAGTCGAAGTGACTTCAGGGGTGAACTGCTTGTTTTTGCTTAAATTGCATACTGCCAGCCAGTGATGCTGGTGGTGCTGGGGATGCGGACACATTTGCGAAGCAGGAGCTGGTGATTGTGCGGACTTGTGCAGTGGGAACAAACAAGGAGAGTAATGCCTACAGGACAAGCCATATGAGCAACGGACAACATTGCCAGGGTGTAGGATTTGGTTCTGCAGGTTGATTGGTTCGGCTGGAGGTACTGTGGCAAACAGGCATGGATCCCCTTCCCTCCCTCAGGTTAACATGGCAGCCGGAGAATGACACTGTAAATGGAAAGGAGTCTTCCAAAGGCGTCCTGGAGCTTCGATGTGAGAAGGGAGTTGTAAACTGCAGCAGCTATGCCGAACCTGTCAAGCCCAAAACAACGGCAACACTCGCCCTGGCGGCAATTGTTCGTTGTTTTCCAGAACTGGAAAACCGAAAATAGAAAACACTCTGAAAACAGATCCCCCCATTTTCGATTTCTTTGCCGACCCCTGGTCTAACACGCAGAAGACAGACCCCGTCTACAATTGTCTACACTCGTAAAACCCTGGCACATGAATTTACACCCAGAGAAACATATCGTTTATCTGGGGCAAGCTTCTCCCTGAATGGATTCAGGGAAGCTGCGCTTTGAAAGCTATCGAACAGAATGGAACAGGAATCAACCTCTAGAAGAGCAGTGGCAACAAGTTCGCCAATCCCGTTGTACCGCTTCTACTCATGCTTACACCCCACTTGCTGAATATTTTAAGTACCAACAAGGTTGGGATGTTTTGATCCAATGTCCACCAACATTCCCACAGAAATGGTGTCGTTTTTTTGGGCCACTCCCAAACTGATGGTTTTCCTTTTGCATTTTCCTTCGGAAACCGCAACAAATGGGTACTGGGCCTACAAAAAAGACACCTGTGCTTTTTCTTTTTCTTTTTCTGAGGCTTCATGCTGGGCACCACCGGCGGCAAGTGGATACCGCAGATGGACAGCACCCAGCGGCTCCAGCGCCTTGGATTTGCGGGGCTCACCGATGTGTTTCTCGTAGGAATCAGAATCCTTCGTTTGTTCCTGTTTGTTCCGTTTCCTGCGCGTGGGTCACTCACCCAGAATCCTCAAATGGGCGGTTTCCCAAATGGGTTTCCTTTCCTTTAGGTTTCCCTTCAAAGCACCCAAATGGGTAGCCCTAACAAAAAGACACACCAATGTAGGTCCTTGACTGGGGAATGCACATTGATTTCAGGTTTTGGAGTGATTCACGCAACGCAACGATGCCATCCTGTTTTTTGAGCGAATGCATTTTCAGGGAGATGAACCTCCCACCAATGACCCTCTCAGCCCCCGAGTGCTTGGAGCTGCCACGTTTTGGGTTACCATTTTGGCGGAAAGCGGGCAGTTCAGAACTTTCGAAGGGCAAATCCACGCAAATGAAATGTTTCGGGAATCCGGAGAGGGCGTTCTGCTCGAGCCCTGTTGTGCTGGATTTTTGCCAGACGGTTATGCCACTAACCAGGGTCAGAGCCCACTTTTGGGCATTCAAGCAGGGGTCCTGAAACTTGATATGCGCCCAGGGTTCCGATTCCATGCCATAAAGGATACGAACTCCAAACCAGGGAATCGGCCATACATATTTGCGTTACTCACGGGTTTCCTTTGAGGGCCTAAAACACATAGAATTTCCGATTCAGCTATTGAATCAAAGACCATGAAATAAGATCTTTTTATGCCGCGCAAGAGACCTTAAAACTGATTCAGAGCCATAGCAGGAGCGAGCCGACTCGCAACGGGAAGTGTCTGTAACTCTTGGTAAGGGCTCCCAGTCCCCCAGCCACTTTTGGCGTCCTTTCAATCAAGTATCCAAACAGGGTACCCTCTGAGACTTGGGGATCACATCCCCTCTTTGAGTGGCTCAGCCATTCGCACCCAGGAGACTGCCTTGGAAGGTGCTCTATGGCTGCACTCGTGGGCTGCAGGTCCGCGCGCTCCGCGCGTCGCGAGCCGCGAGTCGCTCCGATCAGCGGAAGGTTTGGGACTGTCCCGATAGGTGCGGCGAGATGCGTTTTTTAGGATTTCTTGTATTTCTCTTTCTCAAGTGTTTTTGTTTCCCGCTTTTGGCTTCTTGGCTTCTTGGCTTTTCGGCTTCTTGGCTTCTTGGCTTGATTTTCTTTGCACGGCGGAAGGGTAGACCCGTTTACCAGGTTTAGATGGTGACTCACCTGAGCCAAACAAAACTCATTGACAGACGACTGCTGGATTTTCTGGAGGAGTCCACCCCAATTCCCCCAATCTGAAACCAGGTCCATCTATTCCCATGTCCCTACTCGAGAAGACGAGGACCCTGTGAGCCTGAGCCATGAAGGTCCATCTGCCTCTGACTTTTTGGTAAGAGAAGCCTAAGCTCCCGGCCATCCTTTTAGGTTTTTGGGTGTTTAGTTGGTTCAGTGGCAGTTTTTCCATTTAAGCCACTAAGAGACGGGACAATGGGTGCGGCTCGGTTCTTTCCCTTTGCCCAACAGTTCGCAATGTGGTCTTTATTTTTGTATCCACATGGGTTTGTGTTTTTTAAGAGCTGCTGGGAACCCTGAGAAGAGTGGTTTCCCTTTGGTTTATCCCAGAAAAGCGTGTCCTCAAAAAAAGGACACACACACACACACACCGATCACCTCCCTCCCTTCGAGGTGAAGCAAGAGGACAAGCCGACACACCTCGCCCAGATTCCAAACAGGGCCACAATAGAGTCGGTGTAGAAGACCTGACTTCATTCACATTGGTGTTGTCAATCAGCTTTCTCACCAAGAGCCAGTGAGTTTCGGGCGCTTGCCGTCCGAGAAAAGCTTGGCCTTGAGATTTTCTTTTGGTGCAACCGCCAGGTGGGGTGGTTCATCATGTTCTCCGTCAGCTTGCTGGAGGAGTTCGGACTCTTTCAGCTGAACGTCCAGGTGCTCCTTCGATTTGAGTCCGCGGCCCCACTCAACCAAATCTTGGCCGAACCTTTGGGGTGTGGCCTTTTTGAGGGTTTGTTCGGAAGTTGTTTCGATGGAGCCTGAAGCGAGACATTTAGACAAGTAGACCTGCTGGTTTTTCGTCTTGATTTTTTAGTAAAACTCGCGGGGTTCGGGCATGCGCAGCAGAATCAAAGCCTCACATCTTTCGCATCCGGAACCAAAACTATACATCAGCAGAAACCCAGCAAACGAACAACACTGCTTGATGCGAACCTGGCGCAGACTTATCACGATGCGCTCGAGCGTGTTTACAAGAGTCTTGCATTAGGAAGTACGCTTCGAAATAGTTGTGGAATAAATTTGAAGAACCCCTTTTCTGTCTTTGGGTCCATGATATGGGAGGTGTGGGCGCCGCACCTGAAGGCTTTGGCCTCATTGATCCTGTCATATCCCGTCTCTGCAAAAGACCCGCTGGTTTTGCAGCTGCCTCCCACATTGACTTGTTTACAAGTCTTTTGCCACTCTGCCAAGATCGAAACGTGATACTGATGCTCTCGAGTCAAGGATCCTTCCAGGTCGATCGAGAGGGGTTGAACCAGGCTTGGAGGGGCCATTTTGTCTGGGTCCTTAAAGTGAACATTTGTGAGGAGTCCCCCTTGTCGTTTTTGGGTGGTTTCTCTGGAGGATGACACTTCAATGGATCCAGTGTTTTGTAGACACGCTAAAAGGTGTTGAAACTGCCACCCAACAAGGGGGGCGGGGGCGACTCAGAAGCGGTCTTTCCATTTTGTCCACCCGTTCAGCCAAATGTCGGAATATGAAGTTGCGGTCTTCCAAATGGGCATTTCCTCGGCATAGAGGCCCCACAAAGCGGTTGGCTCCTTAGTGTGGTCTTCTGTTACCCTCAGGTTTCGAAGGCATGCTCAATTTCCCGTTCTTTTTTGAGCTTCCTAAAAGGGTCCCAATGGAACTTGGGGCTCCAAAGCTGGTTCTTTTGAGACATGGCGATCTCTGAGTTTTCTATGCGCTCGCGAAACGAATCGTAGGTGATGGACGAGAAGCAGCTTGGAAGCAGGAAGCCATGCTTTTTCCTCCTTTTTCTGCAACGCTTTCTTGTTTGCCAACAGAGTAAAAGGAGCTTAAGGGATTTCTGCAAGACATTCTCCCCCGAACTGACGGGACACTCATTGATTTCATGTACAGGTCAATTCTTGTGGACTAGGCGAATGGGGTTAGGGAGCCCGCTTTAAGATGGGGGGGGGGGGGTACTTGGACCTGCTCAGTGGAATGCCTTTCAACAGAGTAGTCCTTTTTGGACTGCCGAACCTCGGTCACATGCTAGTAGCGATGGCCTACCTAAAGTGCTCTTGAGGGTGTTCTAGGGTGCTATCCCATTCTTTCCAAGGATCATCATGTCCAGAAAACCACTCTTCAGGGAACGTGGCCGGTTTGTGCGATTCTCAGCCGCAAGGCCGCAAAAACGGGTGGCAGATGGCAGAAGTTGCTGTCTTTCCGCTTTCGGCACATGCTGACCACGTGAGCAGGGGCCAGCCTTCGCCTGTTGAAAGTGGTGGCACAGCAGACGGGTATACTTTGGCGAACGACTAATCTGGAATGGAAGATGCTGTAGTGCAGGCTACTTGGTTGCTGTTGGACATGGAGACCCCAGACCCGAAAATTCGGCAAGTGATGGCAAGCAGGAAATGGACAACACTATTAAGGTTTTCAGACAGCAAAAGGGGCCTACAAACTCGTCCCACGCTTGGGTCGCTGAGGGAGAAGGAGGAGTCAGAAGAGAAGTCGGAGCTGGAGAAGCTGTTGGTTGAAGAGATCAACGACGGCATCGCCATCTCGGAGCCCCGGGATGCCGTTTTTGTTGTGTATTTTTCTCCCACCCTCTTCAAGTCAAAGCTAGGAAGATACCTAATGGGTGTTTCGCAAGATAGGAATCAGACTCCTTTTTGCATGGATAAATAGTGGAAGCCAAAAGGACACCACCATTTAAGGGTCCCTAATCTTCAAGATCACAGGGAGGTCTGCTTCAAGCCCAAGATAGTCAAAATGGTGAACCCCGTTGCAAGCCTGGCAAGGGAACCAAGCAGGAGTCTTGCTGTTTTCGGGGACCACCATGTTGTAAAGCACCCATGTTTTGTGGGGAGCCTTTTTTTTGGGTGATGTGTTATTCGAAAACCAGGAGGACACCCACCATGTTGGGGGATGTAAGATCAAATCAGAAGCATTTGTGGGGCTCTCAGAATGGCGAACCCCTTATAGAGACCAATGAGGTATCACAAAATAGGCGACCCGTTTTCGGATGGTTTTGTCAGGGAAAGCAAAAGGACACCACCTACCTGGAGAGATCCCCAATTTTGAGAAACACCCAGGAGAAACGTTCCCCTAAAACGGCAAGGGTTTCCTGTTGGTTTCCCTTTAGATACCAATCAAAAGGGGGGTCCGTCATTATGATATATTTTGATGTCTGGTCTCTTCCAAAACTGCTTTGTCTCTGGGGGCAGACGCAATATGACGCAGAATGCGAACATCTTGTTAAACTGTTGCTTTGATTTGCCCCAGATGTGGGCCAAGGTGTGTGTGTGTATATATATATATATATGTTGAGGCACGCACACACACACACACATATACCGACACACACACACATATATATATATATACACACTATCTAAGTACGTATGATCTGCGTGTTGGGAAGCAATCCGGTCTTGTGTTCTTTGCTCATTTGTTCCTTCTTTGGTTCAGCCTCTCCCCTTGGTCTGTGTGTTTCTCAATACTACGACCAGACGAGTGGTCGACGTGGAAAAGAGATACATATTTGCTGGTTAAGGGGAGATGAAGGAAACCCAAAAGGGCAAATGGACAAAAAGTGAAGTATGGCAATGAAAGCAGGGTCCCACCGTCCTTTTGAAAGCAGCGGGATAGTTGGGTCTGCGTCAAAATCCGGACCCCATCAATTGTGGTTTGTCTTGTGGCCTTCCTTTAAACCAACCTGAGGGGTACCCTCATGCAACACAAGGTCACACAGTTGTTGTTTTTTTTGGGGGGGGTTGACTAAGATGCAGAGGTGTGTGGCACATCTTTGGTACACCACGCTTCGCCAAACCGCTCAAGCAGCGCTTAGGAGCCCACCCACCACCGGCGCCTCACCGGCAGCATCTGGGAGTTCCGAAGGCCGTTGGGGGTTCTTGTGGGTAAGGTGGACCCCATATTTTCATCAACCAGCCACTGTATTAATTGGGGGGTGGTGTCCACCTGGGTTTTGTGGGGAATCATCATTTTTTTTTTTTTTTGGGGGGGGGGGGGTGGTTTTGGGCCCTGAGGGGTGTCCGATTCTGGGTGAAATGTGGGGAATCAGACCACTTTTGGAGGGGCCCGACCCCTGCTAATAAACTGGGGTTGATTTCTACGGGGTCAACGTTACATGGAAACCCGCCAACCGCCAAGCGAAACAAGACAATCCAAAGAGGGAGGCTGAACCGTTGTGGACATGTTGGTTTTGGTGTGTCAAGGAGCCCCACTACAAAGAGATAAAGCAATCGGAATCAGCTATCACAAGGAGTCTCCGCTTTCGTGGGCCGGCCTTTTGTTTTGTGGGTGTCTTGCTTTTCTTTTTGTGGGTTTCTGCGCTTTTTTGGGTGGTCGCATTTTTGTGTGTTTTTAATTTGGGCGTGTTCTTGGGTATACGGTATACTTTTCCCCTTTTTTGAGTGGGTCTTCTCCGCTTTTTGGGCGGGTGTGTCTCCTTTCGGGGGCTGGATTTGTCCACTTGTTTGGGAGGGTGTCTCCTCTTGTTTGGGTGCCGGTTTCTCAACTCTTTTTTTTGGTGGTTTCTCCGCCGTTTTTGGGTATCCACAATCAGTTTCAGTGTCTGCTCTTTTGGGGGTTCTTCACAACGGGTGTTTTTCTCTACCTTTTTGCGGATGGATTCCAGTTTGTTTGTTTTCTTGGGGGGGGAGGGTTCCACCTTTTTTTGCGGTGGGATTCTCCGGGTGAGGTGTGGAACAATTGATCGATCCATTCTTGATTAACTATTTAAGCCAATGAGTTGGTTGATTCGTGATTTCGGATGGTCAGTGCGCCACTTGAATTTGAAGGGTGGGTTGGCCTACAAGCTAGTAGTTTAGCGACAAAAAAGCATCGAACAGGAAGAACTCCTTCCACGGCAAATGCTCCCGTAAAGCGAGTCCGCTCAAGAAAATGCGGCACACTCTACCAGACACCTGCTTTTGCGCCTCACGCTGTGCTGTGGTGGGGCTGCGATTTGCAGCTCGCCCCCGGTCCAAAACCTTCCGAAATGTGTCAGGAACGAAACTGTCACAAAACGCCAGTCATATTTCCTGTTCCAAAGCCCCGTGGACTATGGTCGTCGACCAGGCCAACATGGCGCGTTGCTACTTCTTCAGGAGAAGCAAGCTAGTGGAGATGGGCTACAACATCCGCGAGGTGGTGGCGAAAGCTCCGCCAAGCAAGTGCCTGGAGCCTTCTGCCCCTCCATGCCTACACTTCAAGCTTTCCTCTTGGACGCATCAGCACGCACGGCAGTTCCTACAGCTGCGCCGCGGCGAATTTCAGCTTGTGCTTTGCGGCTGATGTCTGCGGCGTTCAGCCGCATGCCGTCCAGCGGGCAGTTGAAAATCTGTCATGTCAGGACCGTGGCCGACGCGCAGAGAGCTTGGGCATTGAGACGCGGTGGACTAACAACCTGTGGCTGCTACTGCGCAGGCTCTCACCCCCTTGCGTTTGCTTGTCAAGAGCTGCAAGGAGAGTCACGCGCCGACGCTTGAGCATTCAGACTGCTCGCTGGAGAAGTGGCCTTTTCCTCGGAGGAACAATCGATTCCCTGCACTGGACGGACGGTGCTACTTGAGCGGAAGTGCGTTTCAAGCAACCGGGCGCAGCCACGTGGGCGCTGCGTCGGTTTTCACTTGGCCGCATCTCTTGGGCAGAGTTGCTAGACCCCGAGTCACGGTAGTTTGTTCTTTGCAGGAAGGTGCTCTTCCACCAGCTGGAAGCTTCAAGCTGTATTGCTGGGTAGTTATTCTTCGAGGCTTGTTCTCCATCTTCACACGGTCCAGCTTGCTGGTGCCAAAAAACTTCCATCCATGCAGCCACTTGCGTGGAGTCAATGGCGTAGAGTCGCTTGCGTGGAGCCACCTTCGAGGAGTCAGTTGCGTGAAATCACTTGTGTAAGCTGCAGCAAGCCAATGGAGGCATGAAGTGCTAGATCACAGAACCGATGGATCGCTTGAGGCGGGCGCAAGCCATGGAAACCGCCGATGAGAATTTCCGTCTCACAGAGAGGCAGGGAGCGCGAAGCTTGCGCAGCCATGACTGTCTTCGCTTGCTGGCCCGGCAAAATGCCGCTTCAGCTTGGTTTCTGGTGTGACTGGTAGTTCTTTCACCATCGCTCACTACAACCGCGATAGAGGTTTCATGCGCGCCCAGGCGCCTTGTAATCGCCCGTTGCGTGAGTTGGCAAGCTGCGAGCGTGTTTGTTTCATGGAAAGGCGTGTGCTTCACAGCAGAAACCGTTGAAGGGCAATTCCCGCTGTCTGTCCGTGGCCGTCAAGAGGCACATGGACCCACCACAGGTGCTCTTGTCTCTGTCGGTGCGAGTCGTGCGCGGGAGTATGTGTGCGGGAAGCCAACGCGGATGGTGCAGTGCGTCACGGGGTTGTATTGGGGCTTTTGACTGTGCAGAATGGCAGCCTGTGCGACAGTGTGACTGGAATATGTGTATGAATATAAGTGTTTGAAGTTTGCGTATAGAACATGTATATGTCTTGTTCTCAACATCCAATATCCAAGCTGCGCTAGCGCACCTGCGTGGGAGAAATTGGGCTGCGCAACTGCAACGTGTTGAACACACAGCGCTTGCTAAGCTGAACGTACGAGGTGGTAATTACGACTGCGACGTGCGCAATATTTCCTTCATCTGATGTCCAGCCCAACAACTACATACTGGCCGCCACGCACTTCCAAGTAGAGCCAACTACGCCATAGTCAACTTCGACCGTGTTGAACTCCCTCTGCGTAGGGCCAACTTGTGAGTCAATTGCGTAGACCCGCTTGCGTAGAGCCTGTCTTAGAGTTATCTTGAGTAGAGTCGCTTGCGCAGAGTCTCTCTTACGCAGCTTGCGTGGAGTCACTTGCGCAGATTCGCCTGCGCGGGCTCGGCAAAACATCGCGATGAGTATTGCACTTTCGTGCCAACCGTGCTCCAATTACGGGTTTGTTCGTTCGTTTTCTGGGCATTGTCGGTTCAGCTGGTACTGGTCTTGCTCTCCTCCTTGGGCTCGGTGGGTCGCTGCTCTTTCACCTGCAGGGGAAGATCGCCCATGTGTCACTGTTTGTTCCACCGGCTTGGCCTTACCACCTTTGTTTGGTGCGTGGACGTGCAGCAATTCCCCTTGACACGGGCGTGCGGAAGGGACAATTTCGTAGCAGCGCAGCACTTTCCGCAAGCTCTGGTGCGAAATTTGTGGCACACGCAAGTCACTGTCGCAAGCCCAAGACAGATTTCGTGGCAAGCATGCGATCTGCGCCTGAGTCTGCCAAAATCACGAAATCTACACTTCAGGCTGCCAAAGTGTCGCGTCTGCAGCGTGGTCAGATCACCGATCCGGCCAAGTGCCACGCAATCTGGACCTCAGCTTGGCGAAGTGCTGCGCCTGTCACGCAAAATCGGGTCCGCGCCCGTTCCAAGACCTGCGTCAGGCGTTGCAACCGAGGTGAAGCGCAGCACTTCCGGCAGGTACTGCCTTCCCTTTCTTCCCGAACCCCCCCCCAAAAAATAGTAAAAGGAGAATTCAAAGAATTATTCTTTCTACTATTTTTTCTCCAACAGCAACACAACAAACAGAAAACAAAATCCAGAACAACAAGCAAACAAAATAAATAATCACAACCAGCAACAAAAATATTTAATCACAGCATGCAACATTAAATAATTCAAACAAGCATACCAACAAAACAGCAACACTCTAAATCATCAAAGAACCCAAACTCAAAAACACACATCAACAAAAAACAAAGCAACATACCAACAAAAAATATCACAAGAGTATCAAACAAAACAAAAACAAACAGCCAAAGCACGAAAAAATTGAAGAAGCATACCAAGTCTAAACAACGCACTTTGAAAGAGATAAGCAAATTATAATAATTCAATCTTTACAAACGATAAATATATTACAATTATAACATATAATATTTTACATGTGATAATCATAGTATGGTTTTAATCAAAGTCATTAGTATTTAAATATTCCTTTGTAATCTTTGGTATTTGTTTAAAGTTCTGTTTATTATTTTTAAATGGATATTTTCTATCAGCAAAATCATAAATGCAAAAACCTATGCTCCAGTTTCCTAAAACACTTTTAATATCATTTATCACATCACCATACATTAATTTACCTATTATATTGTTCTTCTGTTCATCCTGAATATAATCACATATTTTATCAATTATGATTTTCAATTCTTGGTTTCTTTGTTTTATGTAGTTTAAAAATGTTTCCTTGCAATCATTTTCAATTTTATTATTTGATAAATCATACTCATCAATAAATTTAAATATCATTTTATTATTAAATTCTTCAATTGGTCTTGTTGTTCCAGTTTTGCCACCATAACTAACTTCATATGATTGTTCGTAGTAATATTTAATATCATTATAAAATTTTAAAATATATGTTTCGTTATCTTGCAGTATATATTTTTTCACTTTTTCATATGTAGGAAATGTATTTAACTTTATAAAACAATATGTTCTTAATGATGAGTCATCATTTAGAAATGTATTTTCTTCAAATTTCAATTTGTATTTATCATAAATACATTGTCTCAATGTTGAATGTAAATTACTTTTATGTAAAACTTGCTTTGCATTTCTTAATAAAAAACATTTCTCGCATTCAACATAATTAAAATCACAAATGTTTTTAACAATCGGAATAGGTAAATTTAACTTAGTTAGTCTAGTTTTTTCATTTATTAGTTTACATTTACAACTACTGATAATGTCATTAACTTTTATTTTATTCAAAAAGTCATTAATAATTTCTTCTTGCTCTTTTTTAGTAAATTCAACCATTTCTATTATAATATATTAAGTCAATATTTCTTTAAGTCGTTTTCAAAGAATTTATTTTATAATGGCCGTAAGC